ATCCATTTTCTAGTATAGTTACATTAAAGACTATGTTCTAGCAGTTCCAAAAAGCAAAGAAGGGAGGGACTAGGACTCTAGGAGGAGAAGTGCTTGGAACAGATGAATACGCTTATTTTTGGAGTTCATCCCACATGGACTGCTTACAGAAAATAGAAGGCGTGCAAACCATTACATAAACCAAGCAGCTGAGACATAAAGAGACACACAGCCATGTGGTGAGCACAAAGCAAACTATTCTATCGCCTTTTACTAAAGAATACCGTGTGTTCTCCATATATAGTGGCATACGCCTATTTTTGGAGAGTCCTTTCATTTATTTAGAGGGCTCCAACCAATTTTTGAAGTTTAAATTTCAAATAGCTCCTTCCCTGATGTATATAAAGAGGTTGTACCTCTGACTGGTACTCATTTTTCATTCAAAACAACTAAGTAAAGTAATTGGTTTTTTAACCATAAGATAACTGTTAAAAAGGCATGCCAATTAGCAAGAACCGATTACCCACTTTAAAGAGAGAGCATGTGTTTAATACATCAAGCATAACTTGTACAAGCTTGTCATCTACTCGTCTTCCATCTCATTTCATTTTCTTTAGCTTTAACTCCAACCTCTTGAATCGCATTCCTTTGAACGTGGCATCAATGATATTATGATAAAACAAATCAAAACAATAACATAAGATACACATAAACATAGTATATTCTTACAGAGCTAGGTTCAGGTATTTAAAGTAATTATTGTGTTATTGTATGAATAAATATATGTCAATCATTTCAAAAGGGTAAATATGTAATCATACATTTAATTAATTATGGTAAATATATAAATCAATTAATATCCCTTTAATTTAGGAATATCAGTTTTAAAACCCAATTTCTAGTATATTACTGTTCACTGATCCGATTGTTCAAGCCCAAGTTTTTTTTTCTTCACTTCCTCGTTCCAGTTACTTGTTTTTATCATCCATCGTCGACAATATTATCTTCCAATCCGGGTTTCTCATTTATGTTTCGATCAATTGATTTGTGTTTGCTATTCGATTGTTCATTGAGATTCATATGTTTTCTTCAATTTCCGATTTAATGTTTGATGACCGAATCTAAAAATCGATGGTGATCTTTTGGACATTCAAAAGTTCTTGTTTGCAAATCTAATCACATTGATCTTGCGTATACTTAAAGTCGAACCACCTGGAAAAGCTTTTCTGTTCCAAAGTGTTTCAATGATGAACATGTCGATTATGATTCGTGTTTTTTTTTTGTGATTCTTGGTTCTTTTGAATGACGACATGAATTCACACTTGCAGAGATCGAACACCTTGTGGATCCTGATGATAAATCACACCCAAAATATTCTGAAGTTGAAAAGCTTGAATTTCTCATGTTCCCAATTTGAAAGTTGTTTTGATGCACACCAAACGCTCGCTAAAATGCTTCAATTTCTCATTCATGTTTCGATCAATTGATTTGTGTTTGAGATTCGATTGTTCATTGAGATTCATATGTTTTCTTCAATTTCCGACTTAATGTTTGATGACCGAATCTAAAATCGATGGTGATCTTTTGGACATTCGAAAGTTCTTGTTTGCAAATCTAATCACATTGATCTTGCGTATACTTAAAGTCGAACCACCTGGAAAAGCTTTTCTGTTCCAAAGTGTTTCAATGATGAACATGTCGATTATGATTTGTGTTTTTTTTTTTTTTTTTTTTTTTTTTTTTGTGATTCTTGGTTCTTTTGAATGACGGCATGAATTCACACTTGCAGAGATCGAACACCTTGTGGATCCTGATGATAAATCACACCCAAAATATTCTGAAGTTGAAAAGCTTGAATTTCTCATGTTCCCAATTTGAAAGTTGTTTTGATGCACACCAAGCGCTCGCTAAAATGCTTCAATTGAATGGTATTTCTTCGTTTATAGTATTCTATCAGAAAAGAATGTTTTTTATGATAATCATGAACATATTCTGTTAGAATTCCCCGAATTAATATAATTATTGGTAAATGAATTCCAATTCTATCATAATGGAATCACAAATTCCAATTATGTTGGAATGAAATATGGATATTTTCTCACTAATTTATTCATTGGATTTGATTCTATAGAACTGATGCTTGAAGAACGGACCACGAAATTTGAACGACACCTTTTAGCAACATTATTCTTTTAGAATGTATTAGTGTCTTTATTAGATTTTGATGTTTTTTTTTCCAGATTTGTAAGTTTTTTTAGTTTTATTCTTTAACAATAAATGTAATTCTTAGCAATTGTTACATGTATTCTATAAGAATTAATGTAATTTTTGTTTTAATTCTTCATTTGATGGTTCGAGAATTTTGTTATTCTACAAGAAATTTTTAAAGTCATGATCAAGAAATATGTTCAAGAATATTTTTATTATTTTATGGTTCAATAATATTTTTATTTTTGAACATACTCAAACATATTCTGTTAGAATGTCCGAATTAAAAACCTTATAATTCGTAAAATCGGATTTTTAAAATAAATAGAATCTATGATCCCTTAAAATATGCAAATTTCATTTATTAAATCTATGTTAATTGACTAAAATACCCTTCTAGTTAAATTAGATGGTATTTTTCAATTATATTTAATTCAATAATATGTAGTAATCATTTTCTTAAAATAAGTAAAATGATTGACCCATATTTATGCATACAATAACACAATAATTACTTTGAATATAATAACCTAAGCCTATTCTTACAATTACAAATAACATGGTAACATAGTATATTCTTACAATTACAAATAACATGGTAGCTAATTCAGGAGAAAAAGATAAGAGTTCGACATTTATAATTACAATACCACGTACAAGCCCTCTTGGTGTTATAATAAAAGTTGCGGAACTTAATGTAAGTTGAGCCCATATTCTCATTGTGCCTGTCTTTCTCTATGTTAAGGTGATCATTGATAAAATTCTTTCGTATAAAGTTATGTAGAAGGCAACAAACAAGGATGATCTGATTTAATGTTCTATGAGGATAAAATGCATGGACTTCTAAGGGGCTGTTTGTTTTTTTTTGTGAAGATCTGCGCAACCACTTTTGTCTGCGCCACGCAGACAACGCGCAGACATATGCCCTCGCAGAGTGTTTGTTTTTTGGAAGTGCGCAGATCAAAAAACGTTTGTGCGAGGTCTTTTTGGCGCAGACATGGGCCACTGTCTTCAAAGGTCTTCAGACCTCATTTTAACCTAAACCAAAAAAAAAACATAGGCCACCGTGCAGTTTTTTTTTTTTTTTTTTTTTTTTTTTTTGCTGAAAATGCATTTTTAATGTTTATGACATGAAATTAAGTTTGAAAAATCAATTTATTTCAACATCTGCAGACGTTAAAAACAAACAGTCTTTTTATTGCAGACTGCAGACATTTGGTCCACCTCTTCTGCCGCAGAGGCTTGCAGATATGGTCCGCAGACTGCATACATTTTGGCTTCAAAAAAACAAACGGCACCTAAGTGTAGCCAATTTCTTCTTAGAACTCCAAAACATCGTTCTATGATATTCCATGAAAATGGGTGCTTCATGTTAGGTTATATTCTCAACTTTTGTTGATCGATGTCAATGCAACCATCTTTTAATGGATATATTTGACTTATGAATGGTGCAAGAAATAGAAATCCCTCGGTATTGGTAGCATCTACATGATAGTAGTTTCCTAGGAACTTATAATCCATTTTCGCATAGCTTAGTAGCACTATAGAGTATTCTGTCATTATGTACATGAATACATTGCATATTATGTGAACAAAAAGCTACACCATTTGTAGTGATTTATCTCTTCCGATTTGTTATATGGTTTTGTCTTTATGTCGTGCATGTAAACATATACATCAACAAGAAGAAGAAGCCCACAATCTCATTAGAATGGACAAGTGGAAGGTGGATATCAGCAGGTAAACTTATATATCTACCACATGTCACCCCTGAGCATCCTTATGACCAAAATAAATATGTGATACAAGAGTTAGAAAAAGTTTATAATAATTAAACATATAACTTTTGGTCAAGTACCTCGAACCACTTTCTATTACCTGTCTAATATAGGCTTTGGTAGAGTGTCCATAAGTTCAAATCCAATGGATTTTGATGAAATCGATCCGATCCAATTATCCATTGGATGCAGCCGATACAATCCAATTTGTTAGATGCAACAAAACCAAACCAATCCAACTGGTTATCAGATTCGATCGGTTTTATCCATTGGATGTCAATATATAACACTGGATGATAATGTATGCTCGGTTTTATCCAACAAAACTACTTTATTTTGTTTACCATCTGTGTTTAATAAAAGTCGAGAGTAAGGATGGCAATTAAATAGACATTTTTAAAATTAAAGACTTATTATTGTAAATTAACATAATATGTATTTTGCATGTATATTTATTTATTTGCTAATTAAAAAGACTTCTGGTGCTTTGTTTACAAGAATAATTTCTAAACATTGTTTAGTTTATTCTTTATTTCAAATTTGGCATGGTTCTTGTAGTCAAACAAATCATGTTCTTTTGTTTCTTTATGTTTTGTGAGAATCGACCATCAAAAGATTCGTTCACACTCTTTGATTCACACTAAATAATTAATTTTCATTGGTTTTAAAAACTATTTTTAATCTTAAAATAGAGTTAAATATACTTAGTATTTTAAGAAACTGGAACCCACTATAAACGATACACATTTTTTTCTTTCAATAATAACAATAAGAAAAGCTTCTTCGCAAGATGTTACCTCTATCAAAAAAGTTCAAAACTGATTTGGTACCGCTTAAATATTTAATAAATGATCTAAATACAAATAAAAAATATAAATAAGTACTATTATAAACAGAAAATAAAATACAATATTTTTATAATAATAAATTAATAATTAATAAATATATGCTATTTGATCGACATAATTACTTTTTAAATAATATTTTCATATTTTCCGTTGGTGGTGGTGGAAGTGAAATTTTGTTTTGGATTCTTGTCCTCCTCTTTTGTGGCTTTTGGAGATAGGATCAGTCGTACTTCTTATTCATTCTGATTTTCTGATCAACATCCAATTTCAATGGCGGCTAACTGTTCCTCTCTTACACCCTCGCCAATGGCTCTTTCCGGTGGCTCCGCCACCTCCTCCGCCACTCCTCGTCTCCTTTCACTTTCTCCAACTACCTCCGCCAGACCTTCGTCCCTCTCATTCCATTTCCTCTCTTCGTCCTCTTCTGTCGCTGCATCTCTCAAATGCCTCAAATTATCTCATCAGGTTTCTCTCCATTCCCTCCCTCATTCATCACAAATGTTTTAATCCTTCTCATTATCGATTTATTGCAGAAACGAACAAAGCTTCATTCGTCCAGTGGTGACTTCGGCGCAGTGGTTACCACGAAATGCTTTGCATCTAACCCTGATCAGCTCAAGTCTGCTAGAGAAGACATTAAAGAACTCCTCAAGACTACCTACTGTCATCCTATTATGGTTAATTTTAAAACCTTCCCCGATTGTATCTATTTTGACCTAATATTTACTACCTTCTCCTGCCTCACTAAACATTCCAAATACAGAATTAATCAGGATCCGTTGTTGAACCCCAACATTAATGTAGTTTCTAGCAGTGAATTTAAAGTTCATTTTACTTCGCTAAATTTCGTTGAAGTAGATTCTATATCAATTAAGTTTGGTAACAAAATTTTCATATAATCAAGTTGAGAGGTAAGTTTGGTAACAAAATTTGCTATCTGATATCTGTTGAAATATATTCCATATCAATTATCAAGTAGGGACTTGTATGTTTTTGATGTTTGCTATCTGATATCTGTTTTAGAAGAATTTCATTGGGGATCAATCAAGGGCACTTAGTTATTGATTGAAGTAAAGAAAGAACAACTCAGGAAACTATAGTAGCCACTAACTACTACCCAACAAAGAAATATAAACTAGTGAAAGTTCAAATTCACCCTTCTAACTATAAACTTTGATTCTTCATCTGCAATAGGTTCGCCTAGGATGGCATGATGCTGGAACTTACAATAAGAATATTGAAGAATGGCCTCAAAGAGGTGGAGCTAATGGAAGTTTAAGGTTTGATGTTGAACAGAAACACGCAGCCAATGCTGGCAAGTTATTTACTTCCCTTTACCTTTATCTTTAATCTTTTTTCTTTTCTATTTTTAATATTCCTTCATGTTATTACAGGGCTTGTAAATGCTCTCAAGCTTCTCCAGCCTATCAAAGACAAGTATGCAACCATAACTTATGCAGACTTGTTCCAATTAGCAAGTGCTACAGCTATTGAGGTCACTTTTAGAATCTTTGTAGTAAATTTACAAAAAAAAGATATATTCAATCATTGATTTTTACTTAACATAATAAAAATCACAGGAGGCTGGAGGTCCCAAGATTCCTATGAAGTATGGACGTGTTGATGTTTCTTCACCTGATCAATGTCCAGAAGAAGGGAGACTCCCAGGTGTCATTACTAAAAAATTTCATTTCTCTTTAAATTTTCTTTTATAGATATTTTTTGAGTTTGTAACTTTTTTTCATTTCATGGTTTAGATGCGGGCCCACCTTCACCTGCTTCTCACTTGCGTGATGTTTTCTACAGAATGGGATTGAATGATAAGGTTGAGTTCATTAGATCACTATTTTTTATATGTAAAAATGTAAAATGTTAATTGCAATATGATGTTTTATTATTTGGATTTGCAGGAAATAGTTGCATTATCCGGGGCCCACACTTTGGGGAGATCCAGACCTGAACGCAGTGGCTGGGGAAAGCCAGAGACTAAATATACGGTATGAAACAATTAAAATACCAAAAATACCCTTCACTATCAAATTTAAACCTAACAATTAAACGTTGAATATATGACAGAAAGAAGGGCCTGGAGCCCCAGGGGGACAATCTTGGACTGAAAAGTGGCTAAAGTTTGATAATTCCTACTTCAAGGTAATGCAATAACAATTTTTCATTATTTTTTTTTTTGCTTTTCTTAATTTTATAAGTTGTAAGAAAAATAGTGAATATGTAAACAGGACATTAAAGAAAGAAGAGATGAAGATCTATTAGTTTTGCCTACGGATGCTGCCCTTTTTGATGATCCATCATTTAAGGTGAAAAAAGTAAAAAAATTGTTTGATAAATTTTGAATTTGTTTATGTAAAAGTAGAAATGATTTGGTTTTCAGGTATTTGCTGAGAAATATGCAGAAGATGAAAAAGCATTTTTTGATGACTATGCTGAAGCACATGCTAAACTCAGCAACCTTGGAGCTAAGTTTGATCCTACCGAGGTTTGTAGAATCTGTTCTATTGTTTTTATAAAATATATCTTTTTTCTCATTTATAGCAACCTATTTTTTACAAAAAAAAATTTGAATTTGTCAGGGGTTTTCAATTAATGATGAACCTGCAGCAGCAGTACCTGAGAAATTTGTAGCAGCCAAGTACTCATCCGGAAAGGTTTTACTTTTTACCATAACGCCCTTCTATCTTACATGCTGGATAAAATAATAATGCTGAAAAAGTAAAAAATAGATAAGGGTACATATGGTTTCTTGCAGATTGTTTAGATTTTTTTGTGTTTGATTGGTGCAGGATTAAGATACACAACAACTATCTTGTTTTGTTAAGGAATAAATTTAAAATAATACAAGAATGCAATGCAATGAAGCAATGCTGAAATGTTAATAATGGAGATGGTAAGTTGAAATATTTGAATTTGCAGAGAGAGCTTTCAGATAACATGAAGCAGAAGATTCGTGCAGAATATGAAGCTGTTGGAGGAAGCCCTGATAAGCCTCTTCAGTCGAACTATTTTCTCAATATTATCATTGTCATTGCTGTTTTGGCACTTTTGACATCTCTACTTGGGAACTGATTCGGTTTTTTTTTTGTTCCATTTTTTTTTAATTATTTATAGAGTTTGTGTTTATATTTTGGTTTTGGCTTTCCTTGAGAGTGTGTAGAGATGCAATGATTGACTGATATAGTTGTTTACTGTGAGTATTTTTAATGTTGTCCATTTTCGTATGATCTTTTGAGGTTGTGTTTGAATTAGGTTACTTTCTGATTGAAAGACACCTGTTTGGTTCAAAACAATTATTCGAAATGAAATATAAAGGCTATAACTATATTGAATAATTAATCAAGTAAAGAGCATATGTATGTTACAAAAACAATGTTTTCTATGGGACAATGTTATAGAAAAAAAAAAAAAAAAAAACGAAAGTTGACAGCATTATAGGAATGTTGACATGATGTAAAGTAGTTTTGTGTAGTATGTTTTATTCTCATAACCTCCTAATTTCTTATCCTAAGTAAATGTATATCAATTGCGGGTTTTAGGGTGTTGTGGCAAGTGAGGCACATGTTTTGGAAGTTAAGATAGGATTTGATGCATTCCAAAAATACCTTGAAGGATGTTACTACACATGTAGACTATGGGAAACGTGCAACCATAAACTACTCCCATCAACTACCCCTGTGTTTTTATAAACAACTACTTTAGCAAGGACTTGTTTGATCAAACTTACGGGAGCAACAACAAACTACTTAATGGTAGCTATATGTGACCTAGAACCACATATACCAAGTGAATGAAGGTGAAGCTGAAAATGAAGGTGAAACTGTGAATGAAGGTGAAGTTGTGAGTGAAGCTCATGTGAATGAAGGTGTACAAGAAAGTTAGCCAATTCATGTACAGATTGATAAAGGTGACTTAAGCTCAGGTTGTGAATGAAGCTCAGGTTTATTCGTCTATTATTCATACAAGGAATAACTACATATTTCAGATCTTTTCTTTCAAATATAAGGAATCATAAAAACATATAATATCACAGAAATGCAATGAATTTAATATTAATATAAGATATTAAATTAACACATTATCCAAATTTAATAAAATAGGTTAATTATGCTTTTTTTATATAAGCAAATTAGCCAATGTTTGAATTATAAACTACACCCGACTAAAAATCAACCGAAACCACCGAAACATGCCACGTGGGAATGATGACTATGATTTATGAATACCGAATTGCTGCGAGTACGGCAATGGCTACCGGGTCTCGCTATTTTTCAGTTCAACTCGATCTCGGAATATTTTACAGAGGAAGAATCTAAACAGCTACCACAACATTCCGGCAATGGCGTCATCTAGGGTTCCGATCATCGTCTTCCTATTTTCTCTTCTAACGCCGTTGTATATTGGCGGATTATCATGTGTCGCTGCCCATACTACTAAAGACTCATCATCACAATCGAAAGAGTTCGTTCTGACTCTCGATCAATCCAACTTCACCGGAACTATTAGCAGTCATGATTTTCTCGTCGTCGACTTTTATGCACCTTGGTAAGAACCTCCATAACTCCATTGTATACATATCTGATTAATTGTTTGTTTTCAGTCGGTGATTCATTGTTTGTTTTATCGTTGTTGCACCACGTACTCTCAGAGCGATCCCCATTTTCTCTGTGTATTAATCGGATTGTGGTGAGATTTATTATGATACTCTTGCATTGTTTATAAAAGATTCTTTTTTTTTTTTTTCAGTTTTTGTTGCATTGACATTGAACATAGATTAATAAAAATCACATTGTTAACATCTTGATTTGTTCATTAACACATAGGTGTGGCCACTGCAAGAAACTTGATCCAGAGGTAACTTTCAATCTTTCATCCTCAACATAAAATATATGTGGTCCCTACATGATCATCCTAAGGTAAGGAGGTCAGAATCCATAAGTCTATGCATGGTAGGACAGACTTATGTATGCATTGGATTGCATTGGACTGTGATTGGGTTTTTAAGATGTTTGTACTTCCTACATGTTGATTGTGGACCGATTTGTGAAAAATGATTTTTTCAAATGATTGTACATTGTTAGTTGGGTACATATATTCCTTATGAGCTCATGATTTCTTTAAGGGATAATGACTTAAAAGGGTAATATATTTTTTGATTTGTACACATTTGGTCATTGAGTTTTTTTTTCGTCCACATATACCCCTTCAACTTGTTAAACTGTATACATTTAGTCCCTATGACCGGCTACTCCAGGTTACCCGGTAAAAATGACTTAATAGGGTAATATATTTCTCACTTTGTACACATTTAGTCCTTAATATTTTTGTACACATTTAGTCCTTTTTTTTTTTTTTTTTTTTTTTTTTTGCAAAAGAAGTCATTTTTTTGTACTAATTCAGTACTTATGAATGATTTTTTAGTTTTTTCTCACGAAATCATATGTGAGACATTCACTAATGAGATGTATCAGGCTTTTGATGCTTATATCCATCGCGATCTCGACTACTTGGTTGCTTAGGTCATGTGTTCTGAACGTCATAACTTCTTCATATGATCTCGAATTTTAACGATCTTTATATCCATGCGTTCGTATTTTAGTCTACTACAACTTTCATTTAGATTACTCCCATTAAAAAATAATATATTTTTACTTACGATTTTTATATCCATACGCGGTGGCGGATTTAGTATGGTCCCAGTGTTGCACCGACAACACCTGTTTTTTCTGTTCGCAGTGGAAAATTTTTCGTTTTTTTTTTTTTTTTTTTTTTTTTTTTTTAATTTTACGTTTATACCTATTTTCATGTATCGACAACACCTATTTCATCTCGGCAACACCTACTATGTATTACTGTGTCTTCCCCTGTCCATACGTTTTTTATGAATGCATGTATGTATATTTTTTTTTTATAAAATCGTTAGTAAAAATATATTACATTTTAACGGGAGTAATCTTAATGAAAGTTGTAGTAGACTCAAAAAAATGAACACATTGATAAAGATCCTTAAAATCTGATATCGTATGAAGAAGTTATGATGTTCAAAATACAAGACCTAAGCCAAACCACAAGACTTATACAACCAAGCAGTCGAGATCGCATTGGACATAAGCATCAACAACCCCAAGCACCTTATCAATGATTGTCTCACGTAAGATGTCGTGAAAAAAACCTAAAGAAATCATTCATAAGTACTGAATGAGTACAAAAAAAGGACTTATTTTGAAACAAAAAAATGTTAAGGACTAAATATGTACAAAAATATTAAGGACTAAATGTGTACAAAATGAAAAATATATTACCGTATCAAGTCATTTTTCTCGGCTAACCTGGAGTAACAGGTCATAAGGACTGAATGTGTACAGTTTAACAAGTTTAAGGAGTAAATGTGGACGAAAAAAAAACTCAGTGACCAAATATGTACAAATCGAATAATATGTTACCCTTTTAAGTCATTTCCCTTTCTTTAATGATATTTCAGTTTGAAAAAGCTGCTTCTATATTGAGTAGTAACAGCCCCATGATTGCTTTAGCAAAAGTTGATGCCAATGATGAAAAGAACAAAGATTTGGCTAGTGAGTATGACATAAAAGGTTTCCCAACACTTAAAATCATTAGAGATGGAGGAAAAACTATTCAAGATTACAAAGGACCAAGAGACGCAGAAGGAATAGTTTCTTACTTGAAAAAACAAGCCGGACCCGCTTCTGTTGAAATAACATCTACAGAAGAGGGCAATGCTCTTGTTGATGGAGATAAAATCGTTATCGTAAGTCCTATTTCTTTTCTTTTCTTCTTATTAAATGTTTGCATGGATAAATTACTGTCTAAATTAATATTTTTTTAAATCCATTTGAGAAATAATTTTATACTTTGGTAAACCTAAGGAAAAAAATAAATAAGTTAAAATATAAAGAGAAAGCCTCATTTTCCTGACATTCTCAGTTAAGTCGTTCTTTTGCATAAACTGATTATTATTTTTTGTGCTATGAGTAATGTGTTTGTTTGTTCTCCTAGGTTGGAGTGTTCCCTGAATTTGCCAGAGAAAAGTTCACGGTATTTTTGACTTTAGCTGAAAGTTTGCGTTCGGATTATGAATTTGCTCATACATTAGATGCAAAACTTTTACCACGAGGTGATTCGTCTGTATCGGGGCCCATTGTCCGTTTATTCAAGCCATTTGATGAACTTGTAGTAGATTTTGAGGTAATCTTTTAATGTGTTTATTCCTGTCTATTACAAACGTGACACAACAAAATATATTGTATTGTGTTTGGCATGTTCTGTGAACTGAGATTGAGACTGATGTCAATGAGACAAAAATTGTATTTTAATCTGCAGAATTTTAATTTGGATGCATTAGAGAAGTTCATTGAGGAAGCAACCATTCCTACTGTAACCGTCTTTAATCACGATCCAAAGAATCACCCTTTTGTCATCAAATTCTTTAACACTCCCAATGCAAAGGTGAAAAATTAATTGATATGTACTTTTTTTTTTTATCTATATATTTAAGCGGACCCACAAAATATTTTATGTTGGGGACAAAATATCAAGTGGGCAAATTACCAAAAAAAGAAAAAAAAAGTTTTGTATTGAGATATTGTGGAATTGGTAGGCTATGCTTTTTGTGAACTTTAGTAGCAAGCCTTTTGGTGCTTTTGAATCCAAATATCAAGACATTGCTAATGAGCACAAGGGAAAGGGAATATGTTTTCTAATTGGAGATGTTGAAGCTAGTCAAGGTGCTTTCCAGGTTAGTATCTCTTACTCACTACTAAAAAAGTAGGAAATAGTGACGGATTCAATTCCGTCACTAAAAAACGATTTGAAATAATATGTTGTTAATTCCTATTTTTCTTAATGGTTTTGATCAACAGTTTTTTGGAATTAAGGAAGACCATGTTCCTGTGATGGTTATAAATGATGATAAAGAGAAGTATGTGAAACCAAACGTAGAGCCTCATCACCTAGAATCATGGTTGAAGGAGTACAAGGTGATTGATTCATTTCAATAATTGGGGAAGGAATTAAATGTCTTTGGAATGAAAAAATGTTGTTTGTTTTTTCTGAAGGAATGAAATGAATTTTTAATATAACCTATTTCTATCTATGTAATTTTTAAGGACACAAACTTCATAAATTTCATAATTTTAATTAAATTACAGTTTTATTTTTTAAAAATAACTAAAAGAATATTTTATTACAATCTTATTTCGCTTTT